TCTTTACGAGTGGTTACGCTCAAACCATTGTACCACTGCAATGCCATCCCTTGGAGACACATGGGAAACTCATGTAAATTTTGAGCATCATCCCAAGAATGATATGTGGCAATCACTATGAAGTGATCGAACCAATGGTACACATCATCCCCAGGATTCCCATGAAAGAACTACTGCCGAACATTAGGATTGGCACCAAGAGCAGGAAGAGCTGTACCACGTGCTGTGAATGCCGCCATCAACTGAGTTTGGTTGTTCAATTGCAATTACATGGCATTAAGCAAGTGCACCAACTACTACTCTAGAGTCAGAGGAGGAGACTGCTGCTTTGCCATGAAGATGAATGAGAACAAAAGAGCAAAAGAAGGGAAATGAGAAAAAACTAGAAGGAAAGGGAGATCTAGACAATGGAAAAGCTAGATCTAAACCAAAATCCTAAAAAGAAAGAACAAAAGAAAGGAAATAGAAAAAACTAGATTTAGATGATGCAAAAGCTAAATGTAAACCAAAATCCCAAATCCAAGCATTTTTCAGGAACAATGAAAGGTGCCCTTCACCTCCACCAATGTAAGTGCTTGGAATATGAAAAGGGAATATAAAAAATGTGCATATCAATTAGCCCAAAAACCCTAGCTTATTTACAGGAGTGAGTGGTCTAGATTGAAACCAATCTAATGCCTACCAAAATCCCACTACACTAATATTAATATACAGCATCGTAGCCGTACACTTGGACCTCACAAAAGTAATTTGATTTTGATATTTAGAAAAATTGTTGCTGATATATAAATCTAAACCATACAATACTTAAATATATATAAAAAATAATATTATGTTGAGGATACTCATAAGTAACAATAATTTGCTAAATCATTTTCAGTCTTTCAAAAGTAGAATTTTCTACAAGATCCATCTTAAAATTAATATAAATCCCAGATGTATATATTATTTTTATAATAATTTTAGAGAAATCAGTTTTATATGTGTCTTAAATGTCAATAATGAAATTTTCTTAAAATTTGAAAACTTTATGAAATATAATCATTTTATTTGTGTGCATAAAAATATGACATCTAATTTATAATTTTATATTTTATGTTCTATAAAATTTAAGTATGGTTAATATAATTTATAATACAAGAGATTGAAGAAGTATTGTTCACAAATGATATGCTTAATACAACAGTGTATGTTTTTAAAAATGAAATACAAAAGAAAGTAATTATATATATATATATAGATTTTGTATTATTTGATAAAGTATCATATTAAAAATATCATAAGATTATTATACATGTATTAGTTTTAAATATGTAGACCTCAGACACTCAGTAAATTTACAAAGTAAGATGTAAATTATTTTAAAATTTAGAATAAAAACTAAAATGATAAATGATGATAAACTATGTTTATAAATGATAAAAGATAAAGATAAAAGATAAAACTCATGTATTATAAATTATATTAACCATACTTAAATTTTATAGAACATAAAAAATAAAATTATAAATTGGATGTCATATTTTTATGCACACGAATAAAATCATTATATTTCATAAAGTTTTCAAATTTTAATAAAATTTCATTATTGACATTTAAGACACATATAGCAACTGATTTCTCTAAAATTATTATAAAAATAATATATACATCTATGATTTATATTAATTTTAAGATGGATCTTGTACAAAATTATCATATTAAAAATATCATAAGATTATTATACATGCATTATGTTTAAATATGTAAGTTACTATTACCTCAGACAGTCTGTAAATTTACAGAGTAAGATGTAAATTATTTTAATATTCAGTATAAAAACTAAATTTTGTTTTATTATATATTGATAATGTTATTATGCTATATGAAATATATTACTATATTAAAAATATATTAATATTTATAATTAAGTAGTTATGTGATAGTTCTATGTTTATAAATGATAAAAGATAAAGACAAAAGATAAAACTCATGTAAAGCTTGCTGGTAGAGTTAAGTGAGGTTATGAGCAAGTAGAATAATTAAAAATATAAAAGAGTTTGATATTTTTTGAGATATTATTAAGAAATGGATTTACCTCATTCAGCGTGCAAAGCTGGTGCGCCGTGCTGCGGATGGCGCCTTCGAACGGCAGCAGCGCATCGTTGATGGCATAGAGGCCGGCGGCACCAGCTCCAGCGCAAGTGGCACTGCCAGCCATGACGATCCGCACGCAAACCCTAGTCCAAAAGCCTGTACTTTTTTTCATTCTCTTTTTCACCTTTAATTCCGTTGAACCGGCCGGCTGGCTACCACTCTTCTAGGGCGTGGGCGTCGCGTGTATATGGCACCGGCGGATCACCTCGTCGTCCAGCCGGGCCTTCAAAGGGCCCTTAACTTTCTTCTCTCGTCTGGTAGAAAAAAATACATCATCTTGTTGTAGCCACACTCCAAATCCACGCAGATAAGCTGGACAAGCTGTTTTGCGCGCCTGTTCCGGTTCATGAAGTTCTCCGCCTCAGATCCCTTCTGATTCAAGGTGTGTGTGTGTGTGTGTGTGTGTCTGCTTCCGTCCCCACCTGAACTCGCTCGTGTCACCAAACAGGCCATGGGCAACAAGAGCTCAGGCAATCGGATTCAATGGGCGTTGCAGCTGCCATGCTCTTCTTTCTCAAAGAACTCAAGGGCGTTCTAATTCCTAGGGAGCTGCAGCCTCTCTTCTTGGCAGCCACGAGTAAGTCGGAACATTTTCAAGCATCTAATCATTGCTCGCTCATACCAGGAGTTTTTGCCGTTAATTGCCGTCTGTATGTTCTCCGTATTCTTCTGGCCCGGCTTCCCTACACTAGCTTCCAACTCGTAAAATGCTTGTTGCGTGTCCTGTTGAAGATACACGAGCACAACATGGAAAGGATATCGCTTCTGAAGCTGGCAATTCTAGTTGGCCCTTTTCTTATCCAATCAGAGATGAATGGAACCGATGCTAGCAGGTGGCATTCTACACACGAGCATCTGAAATTGTCTCTCACTACTGGTGTCATGGCAGGCTCCGTGCCGTGACAATGTTTGCAGTCTTACTGCTGAGGGAGCAACAACATTTGTTCTCCACCAGTCAAGCCATGAGTCACAAGTCGCTTAGACTTCAGGTAGATACTTTACAAAAATGCAGCGCCTTGTTGAAAGTTCCAGATGCCTTGCAACAAGATGAAAGATAAACAACCAGTGCAGGTCCACTCCAAGCTCTATTCCAGTCCCGGAGGAAGGTACTCCTGTCCTGTGCTTCTTGTGCTCTTACGACACTTGCATGCACAGGCCTTTCGATGTGTATGGGTCATTTAACCGGAATATACAACTGCCGGGCCTGTTTGGCAATCAGGTCCCGAGCTTCAGCTGCAACCGGAAGGACGGGCTACTCTCTTCCCTTAGGCAGCACTTGCCAGACTGCAATACAACGCATTCCGCTGCCATATGTGAGCTGAGAGTTCGTCCTACAACAGAAAACAAACTTTTGAGCATAAGAAATGGCAAACGCGAGCTTCTGAGAATTCTCTCCAGAAAAAAGTTTGCGCCCTTGCCGCGTGCCAGACGCAAACGCATGACAAGGTAACTGAATAACTCGTGCTGCATGGCTGGGAACGTATTAATGTGTTCTTCTACAGGAGATTTTGTCAAACTTCAGATGACTTCTACAATTCGTCTCTGTGGTGCTCAGGCACCAAGCGACACTGGCAGACAGCCGCCCAGCAGAGCACGCTAGCTCGCCCGGATGAGCCGGCTACTCTCTTTCCAAGCACTAAGATTTATAATACTCCATCACCTTCGTCTGACCCAACTTGCGAGCCAGTTCCTCCGGCACCCCCACCTTCCAGACCAAGGCCACCCCCGCCTCCACCGCCTCCACCACCCCCACCACCACCGTTGCCTCCACCTTTCCCCCTACCACCCGGAGCTTCGCCACCAGCTCTGCCCTTGCTGCCACGAACCCAAGTTGTCGAGAGTGTTCCTGATGTGGAGAGAAAGCCGAAGCTCAAGCAGCTCATCTGGGATAAGGTAACACCAAAAGGAACAATAGAGACCGTGTGGGCAAGAACGGAAACGGATGGTGTTAGCGTGGACGTGCAACAGCTTGAATCGTTATTTTCTCTAAATGCCCCCCAGTCAACTGCGAGTCAGAATGTGAGACATCTATGCTCACTTA